ATAATAAATGGTATAAAGAAGGCATGATTGACCTTTCCTTATTCTCTCATGTAGTCAAAGAACTGGAGGACATGATATAACTGCAAAGCAATGTATGTGAAGTAGTTGGGAAAAAATGTTTGTGCCATGTACGATTAACCTATGAAATTCACGATAAGAAGCCAGATGATACAAGAATGTTAAGAAGAACCAAATACTTAGCCAGCTACTGCCAGTCAGCCGCTATCTCACCCTGGTTTCCAATCCTGACATTTACAGCATTCTGCTTTTCATTCCCAGGGATCCAGTTCAGCTTTGGCTATGTACATAAATCTTGAAGTAATGTAATTCTTCTCCATGCTCTTTGACAGGGTTAGCCCTCCAGAGGTAGTTTAGTGAAAGAGTAAAGTCAAAAACATGAAGCATTCCCATGGATGATGGTAATTCTGAGAGTTTTAGGTTTAATGACAAGTCAGGAATATTTACCTTTCTTTACTCCCATGTTTTCTAAGAATAGCTCTTTAGGGATCTGAGAGAAATTCTCCGAGTGGATGAGAAAGCATAGATGTCTTCCCGTTCTACATTCCCAGATTTAGCAAGACTGGTGCAGGGCTTGTTCTTGAAATCATTTGCTTAGGAGACTTGTTAATAGATCTGTTTACAGTGTGGGCAGAGAGATGGTGTGTCCAAGGGCATACCACAAACTGATGGCAAGCTCACAGGTTTGCCTGTATTTTCAGTTCACAAGCCAGAGTCCTATTCACCAGGCTATATCTTCCTTCAAGCAGATGAACGTTTAAGAGATAGATGCCTTTCCCTTCATTTATGTGCTTAAGTTTCACTGGCTTGCTAACATCTCTACTGATTTACATACTCGACATATTACTGATTGTTTTCAGTATTTACTATTACATTTTTCTAGAGCTTCAAAGATGTTTACAGACCTTGATAAAGATACAGTAGGGAAAAATAGACAGCAAAAAATCTGCTTTCCCATAAAAGCTTTCTGTCTTTACCAGGAATAATGAAAAGTGAAGAACATGTATTACATGCAAGCTATATTTTTTGTTTTAGTTTTGAAGGCCTCTTTGTTATTTTCAGTAGCTTTCAGTTTACTTAAGACTTATAAAGTATGAACTAAATTCACATTTTTTTAACAGATGCGTAAGAACAATCTGCAGTATTGGTAAAGGCAGCAGATCAAGTATATTAAATTACTTGCATTTGATTTAATGTTAGATGAAGATATACACTGAACAAAGAAAACACTGGTGAGGTGTAACAGAATACAGCAGAATTCAATCTAGTTACAGTGGGACTAACTCTAAATGCAGACTAATTCTGAACTCTACAGCATAATTACAAAATCAAGTTACTTTTAGGTGCCTACCATGAGCAACTAGGCTTAGAATCTTGCACAGAAATATTTGATTTTTCCTAACCTAATGTCTTAGTCATCACTGACTTAGCATTACATTCAGTTTTGCATTTGAATTTCCTCTTTCTTTAAAGAAAAGCGGGAACAATGGGGAAAAAACACCAAAAGAGAACAAATCTAAAAGATGTCCCTGAGAGTGTTCCTAAAGATAAAGTTCTTAAAATGGCTCAATGCTAAGCTTAACCTTAAAGGCTGGATGGCCTTCAGCCATCTGAAGATGACTTTGCTTAAAACCATAAGCTATTAAGGAAACCTTAATGACCCAACAACTCAGAACATGCCTAATAATGTTTATTGTCTTGACGCTAGGCTGATGGAGAAATCATCTCCTGATGGAGAAAGAACCAGATTGGCACAGCTAACTATTCCAGCTTCATCTCATTGAAAGTAATGAATTCTGCTAACTTGGCTTCTGACTAGTTATACGCATTTCAGCAGCTCAGCGAGATCCCCGGTTCTCCAGCGGTTTGCACAGGCCACAGCAGCAGAAGCTCACGTGTGTGTGTGCACACAAACAAGAGTGTGCAGGGGCTTTCCAGGGCCTTGGGGAAGCACCTCCCAGAGGCACTTGGCCAAACAGGGGTGGTTGCCAGCCCTGGGCTCAGGCAGGGCCTGGATGCTGTCTGCGGTGGCCAGGCTCCTGCCAGACACTGACCTGGACTACAAGGGAAGCCACCTCCTTGGTGCCTCTCCCCCAGCAGCTCTGAGGAGCACTTGCACGTAGGTGGTTTCTGATGAGCCATAATTGCCTGCATCGAGGCTGGATGAGCTCTTCCACCAGACCGAGCACTGTCAGTCACTTGATCAGCCCAGCTTCTGTGTATGGCCTCCAGCCAGAGCCTAGACTTCCCTCTCAGGCTGCAGGACAGAGGTTGACGAGGAGGGTGTTGCCCGGCAGGGATGGGCAGGGAAAGGAATAGGAGGGTGCAAAATCAGGTACTGGAGTTCATATATGTGTATTTGAGTACACAGGAGAAACAGTGGGCTGTAGACGCTGAAGATTGGGCTCCTCATGGAGAGTGGAGGTGTGTGAAGACACCCTTCTGCTCACGGTCCAGCTCTGAGCAAGGCAGCTGCTGCAGCCACCCAGGGTAGTACCATAGTCCTGCTATGTTAGGAGCTGCTGTGGGAGCTTTAAAGGCAGCGCTTTAAGATGGTGTTGTGTTGTGAAACTGGGAGGAGATGGTATGTTCTCAGCCTTGTTTAATCAAGTCCTGACAAGCAAGAATAAGAGACGACTGGAGGAAGTGCCTAACGCGATTCCCTGCCTTCGGAGAGGCCAGTCACTTGCACTTTTTAAACTGAATCATGTTCTTTACATGGTTTTGTTCTTACTTTCCATGACCTGCACATCAGTGGCTGGCTACTGTCTTATAATCCCCTCAGTATAAGTGTCTCTTGAGAAAGGATTTGAGAAAGGTAGTTCAATGGCCGCATTCAAAGCATTGGAGACAACCCATTTTCCTATTTTACTAAGGTTTTTCTGTTTTGAAATGGGTCAACAGTTTCAGTTTGGTAAACACCAACATATTTCTATTAATATAAGCTTTGCTGGGCAAGCAATCTACCTTCCTATCTGTTCTTTTCAAAAAAAGAGGATTTTGCGTGCTCAGCTGCTCAAAGAAAGAGTAACGTGTAGGAAAAAGAGAGCAAAAGCAACTGAAATCTTTTTAAAAGTATGTCCTTTTGGTAAACACCAAGCACAAGAATTTCCAATAAAGAAATTGTTTGAGGAAGTACTAAGTGCATATAAAAAGTGTGTGAACTAGTATCAGAGTTCCGGTTTAATAATTACAGTGTCTTCTATCAAAGAATACATAAATTATTAACTTCAGGCTGTGGCTTCCAAGTTGTGATCCACATGGGTAGAAAAGTGTTTACTGTAGTAAACAACACAGTTTATGAACCCATCGGTTCAGAAGTGCAGTGATAAAGATACGTTGTGGTTCATGAGAAAAGTTTGAAGGTTGACCATAATCTGTTGGCCTGAAAGGAACGGAACAGACACCAGCTTGTTTCGGGGGTTATTGTAGTATTTTACTGCTTCCCATAGATGGAGCCAAACTCACGTCGTCCAGCTGCCTGTGACTCACAAGCAATGAATGCAGCTTCCCGAAAATCACAGAGGAGAAAGGAGAGTTTGTCATGTGTCCCCAGGCCCCATTTCCTGCCCCTTCCCCTCGGCTGACTCGCTAATACTGTTTCACTGTCTCCCAGGTTTGTTCCCACAGTGCAGCAGCAACAGGCAATGATACACGAAAGCACTAATCCAACACTGACCTTCCCATACAGCATGAGGGGAAATGGTTTTCAGATGTTACAAATACTGCTTTTCTAACTACACCTTGTATCACAGCTTTGGCTATTGGTCTGTTCTTCTGCATACCGAATGGATATGGCATTAGAAATGGTCTTAAGAGACATGTTTTGGAGGCTTCTTCCTTCCACTGCTGCACTGGGATCTTGGGCAAAATTCTCATCTACCGGGTCTTGTAACTCTGGCCTTCCACTGCAAAAGGTTTGGGATCCATGGACGCAATGCAATGACGTAATAGAAAGTAGGAACTTTGGAGAACAGAGAGGAGGGCTCTACGGTCTCTGTCAACTGTGAAGTGATAGCTAAATTACAGCAATTTTATTTTAAAACTGCGTAAGGAAGACAGACACAACTATCAGGCAAACAAGGATAAGAGCATTACAGGGTATGAGCGTTTCCAGACTTCAGGACTAAGAAATCATAGCTGCCCTCCTGACAGCCACTCAAAGTTCTTTGCTCGCTTCAAGAGCCAAGGAAGGCGACTTCACATCTGTGTTCAGAACAGTGCAAAGCCACTCATGTCCCAGTAAGGGGTAAGAGTAATTACTTCCACACTGATTTTACTTACCTGGCAACAGGTTTCATTACAATGGACTTGAAAGTGTTGTGGAAGCATCTGAGGCAAGGTAAGGTATAGACAGAGTGCCCTTTTGCTAGCCTTTTATTTTTAAGCAAGATGGCAAAGCAGATAATTTTCTCAAAAGACCGTTACATTTGAAGGGCCAGTCTTGTTATCCTGCTATCCAGCGTTCAGTCTGAATCACAAAAGATGAACTGAAACAAGGGGACTATGTGTCAGTAATATCCCAGTGATACAAATGTGCGACTAACTGGAGAAGAGCTCTGCGTCCTGTTTTATATCCCTGTGGTTCTATGCCTATGGTTGCACTTGCAGCAGTTGCTACACTTTGCCCCTTTCACAGAGGCATGTGGAATGCAGCAAGAGCTTGTGACAATCAAACAGTTGAGGAAGCTGTGAAGGGCTGTCTGGTGTGAGACCAGTCTTTTGGATGGAGCCTTCTCTTCCAGGGACTTGCTGTGAAGAAGGAAGAGGTGCTGGATCCCACTCTGGTTCAGCACATCCCCATCAAGACTGTATTATTTCCCAGCTGCCGTTCTGACTCCAAAGTTTGTTCTTGAAAGAGTTATGTTCTCCAACTTTCTTTCACTACTAGGGAGGGCACAGCTGGAGGATTTGGAAAGAGGAGATGTGATCCCCAGAGAGGTGAGTAACCAGCATGGGGAGAGGAAGTGTGTGAAACTCACATCTTTAGATGTTTCCTGTGGAGCGACTGAGTACCAGAGGATCTTTGGTTTTCTCTTTGCAATATCTGGGTCTGATTTCAGCTGCGATGTCATCCTGAAAAAGCTGACTCATCCTGCAGGGCTGCAGCTCCAAGGAACACATGCAGAGGCTGGGAAAGTTCAGAGCTATTTTCAGATCTTGGGGGAGTTGCACCGTGGGGTCCCACTCTCTGTAAGAGGTGCTAGACAGAGCGTGTGCTGTCCGAGAGCGTCCAAGAGGCTCCATAAAATCTGGACACTGCCATGACCCTGCAGGCTTCAAAACAAACGGATCGCAAAGGCAGAAATTGGTAGAGGAATATAATTGCCATCCACTGGGAAAGGGTTTCTTCGGTGCTTTGATAGTGCCAGTCACCTTCACATAGCTTAGCTGCATTAAATAGTCCCTGGAGCAGGAATATGGCAGTGCCCAGGCAAGGATGGTCCGCAGGGGAATTGTGCGGCACAATGGCAGAGAACACTGAGTATTCACCAACCTGACTGCAGGCTCCTTTTCTGCCTCAGTTTACCTTTATCTGTTTACCTCAAACCAACTACCAGGCCTGGTATTTCTCACTAGTCTGGATAGGGCTTATTAACATAACATTTAGCCTTCCAGCCTCAGTAACAAGATTTACAATTGTGATAACAAACATTTTAAAATGTGATTCAAAATATATATATTAAGATCAGTGGAGGGGAAAGCTCTGGAGGGAAAATAGAGTATTCTGATTTATGTCCAAGAAGAGAGGAATCAAACGAAAGATTAAAAAGAACCAGCTTAATGCTATCTGGGGAACACAGCAGCAGCCTCTTTCAGACAGGCCTGATGTTCCTACAAAATAACAGATCCAGGAATGAGTGTCCCAGAAAAAAAAAAAAAAAAAAAAAAAAAAAAGAGGCACGAACAAAGGAAGTAGGAACGAAATTCAAGTCGAGCTGCTTTCCACTTTCCTCTGCCCCTGCTGCAGCACAACACCGAAACTGAACAGGCAAATTCGCTCCCAAAGAAAGACATCCTTGTGTGGCAGAGTTGCCCAGCAGACACCAAAGACTCTTCCAGCTGCTGGCAATGTAGCAGGAGTGACGGGCTCCTGGCCAGGGCAGTCCTGATGGAGCCCACGTAAATCGGGGAAGGGCCTGGGGGCGGTTGGTTAGCACCGGGGACTGCTCAGCGTCTTGGGTGCCAACACTCCGCAACTCCTTCTGCTTGCAGGGAGCCATTTGTCAGAGTCAGAGTTAAACATCTGGTTAAAAGGCCTGATGATAAAGCGCTCTCTGCAGAGCTGATTTCTCCAGAAATGTGCGTGGTGTCAGTATGTAGTGTCAGGAGGCAGCTTTGCCTGAAATATCCGGGGGATCTCGTTTCAAAAAACTGGATACTGGAGAAAGGGCGTAGGTTGGGAATTGAAGGACAGATAAGATTAAAGGGAGGGAAAGGCTGCTATGCTGAAGGCCCCTGTGATTATTTGGTTTACAGGGAGGCATCCAGAAAAGGGAGCGTAATAGAAAAGCAGAAAATACGGAAAACTATAAAGGTGCTCTTTTGGGTGGTGCTTGCTCCTGTACTGAGTGAAGACTCAGTGAACCTGAAAAGCAATGCATTTTACAATGGGTAACAGGAGATGTGCTTATTACAGAATAGTGTTTCGTGTGTACAGGAAATGTATTTACCACAGAATAATATTATTTGTGAAAGTTTCACAGATCATCATTGAGAACAAGAGTCATCTTAAGTCTTAAGTAGGATTAGAGAGGGGAAGAAAGAGGATAATTAGAAGTTGCTACTTTTATTCTCTCTTTCATGTTTGAGGGATAAAATCCCACTAGCTTCAGGGAATAGAGCAACCTCAGAAAGCCCGTGACTAGAAATAACATCTTGTGTGGGCAAATTATCCTATTCTTTTCTTGAAATTTTCTAGGAGTGATCTTCTGCTGGTTTCTGTCATAGATAGGATAGTAGCCTGCCAGTGTATTTACTTTGGTATGTTTGTTACTGCTGGGGTGTTTTAGTAAGGGTATGAACTGGAATTTCAAAGATGGCTTCCAGGCCACTTTCACTGGCAGAAAAACACAGTGTGACAGATATAGATAGAGGTATACTGACTGACACAGTTTCTCCACCACTCGATTCTATCCTAAACATAAGGAAAAAAAAATTAAATCTCTATTTTATTACTATGTTTCTTTTTTTTCACAGCAACACAGTCTTCAGAGCATCTCTTAGCTTAATATTGTCCAACCTTGTATCTTGGGCATCATCTATCTCCAGGACATTGTCAGCATCTCTATGACTGTTTCTGGTGTAGTGGAGAAATGCAACCTTCTCTGGTGCCACCATGTTCCAGATGTCTTCAATCTTTCCACAGCCGTTCATCTTTGGGATCTGTCAGTGTATGGACAGCGGGGTCTTGCACGCTGGGAGACCTCATGTTGTCTCCCCCTGCTATGGATGTCAGCAGTTCCCCAGCACCCCTTTTCTCACTGCTGTGTCCATAGACTGACGTTTAGTCACAGGTGACCAATCTTCTCCCTAAGATGTTGGAAGTCCTCTCTGGCTGACTTGATCACTTGCCTCCTGTGGGCATGTCCTCATCAGCCCCTGTTTTGGCTCCATCCTGGCTCTGATGGTGCCAGAGGTTGTGGCATTCACTGTCCCTACTCTGGCTGTGTCCTGTACCCCTCACACAGTGCTGCCTGCATGCAGGTGCTCTGAAAAATTCTCTTCTGCCCCACCTGTCCAGCAAAGTGCCCAGCTGAGGGTGAAGTGAGACACACAAATTGTGATTGCCTTATGCTTGGTCTTCTCTGTCTGCTGGGCACGGTATCACTTGCTGCTGTGGATACACACACCCTCTGATCCTCATCTGCTCTTGCACCTGAAATGCCTGCGTCATCCTGGGGTGTGCACTGAGCTGGCTCGTCCCTCTGTACTTGGTGGATCATGAGAGCTCTCACTGGATCTCTCTGTCAGGTCAGTGGCCCAGGACTGGCAGAGACTGACTGCACTTTTACCAGGAGGCAGATAGCAAGCCAAAGATTAAAGGTATTCAATCTAGAGGGGATATCAAGTATTGTGTTCAGGTTCCTGGAGTACAGAGAGACATCAAAAGCGTGTCTAATTTTCCCTGGTGAATCCATGCTTTAAAATGTTTAAACAAATCAGATGTATAATTTGGTTGAATGACAACTATATATATAGAAGAGAATGGTGATAATAATTCACAAAACTTTGGAGGATATAAATGTCGAGGAAGGAGTAGTGGTTATAGTGGTACTAGTGCGATAGCCAGGAGGGCTCAAGTGAATTTGAGAAAAGGAAAGTTTTGGCTCGATACAAGGAACAAAAACATAAACTAAATAAAGCAACCTAAATTAAGTAACTGTACAAAGCCTAAGAAACCAAACAAAACCTTTCCTCCAAGTAGTCATTTTGAAAGAGGAAAAGTACCAGATACTACATTGAGTTCTCTGAGAGCTTCACTCTTGTAATGGGTTTTTATATGGGAGCTGCTCAGAAAATTATGGTGATGATGGCTGCCTAAAATGGAAAGAGCCAACAATAATCTCTGCTTGATTTGAATAATCCCCAAAAGGGAGAGGCTGAAACCCCTCAGAAGCAGTAAATTAAAACTGAACAGAAACCTGGCACATATAGTAAATGACGCATATAGTGAATGGCACAATCTTCTGTTGGGCATTGCACATAGAGGACAGACACATCATGATTTTCTGTGTCTAAAATAAAAAGCCTATAAAAAGTACTTCTTCCAGTTATGGAGACAAATAAATTTGACAAGAGTGATTTGTCTTCTTATTACAGAATTAATTCTCTTTTTCTCTTTTTTTGGTTTCCTCCTTTCCCTGATGAGCTTTAAGTGCAGAGAAAAAAAAAAAGGTGTCTGATCTGATTAAGAGTATGGTGCAGGTGAGGGGTCTGAAACTGAGAAAATATCGCTGATTCTGATTTTCACATTGACAGCACTTTCTCTTCGCTAGACTGTCCCTGGGGTTTAGGGAGTATGATAAAACATGTTCAGTCCAAGTGAAGGAAATGGTAAAACTTCAGACAAGAACAGAAACAGTCTTTCAATTTATGCACTGTATTAGAAAATTGTAGCAGAAGCTAAACCAAATGTTTAAAGACGTGGAAATTTAAAGTCAAGTTAATGGTCAAAAACATAGATCAAAGTTGAGCTTCTCAGGTGGACTTTTTCTATTTTCCGTTAAAGGTTTTTTTAAAATGAAGGCTAGAAATATCTGTATACTGATGGCTGTGCTTTGGTGGATGAATGTATAAACAAGGCTGGTCGCTGGCTCAGCAGGACAGATGCTGTAAAGGGGAGCATCCTCTTCAGCTTTATGAAGCGTTGACTCCTGCGCGAGCCGGGAGGCAGAGAGCTGCTGCGCCATGTTCACAGTACATTAACTGCTGGTATTTTCAGTCCATACCAGACCCCAGATCAAATAACTCCCCTGTTAGATCATGCTAAAGGGCTCTGCTGCTTATTTGTCTCTGTCACATACAAGTTACTGGGCTGCAGAGGCACTGCTGAAAGCGGTACAAGGAAATTTTAAACTATATAAACTCTGGGTCTTAAAACAAACAAATGTGCAATCAATGAGCACTCATTGCTCTGTGTTTATGCCTTGGTGGAAAAGCCTGGGTTTCCTGCTAGAAAGCGGGATGACAGTTTTAGAAGGGCACAACACAGCGCCGGGCAGCAAGTCCCCGCATGGCCCCGTTCTGCCTGGCCCCAGCAGGGCCGGGCCGGGCCGGGCCACCTCTCTGCTCCTTCCCGCTCCCCTGGTCTCTGTGCCGAAGTCAACTGGCTCAGCCCTCACCTCTCTGCGGGGTTTTGGGGCCGGGACTGGCTAGTGGCTGCTGGCAGGGAGGAGGCAGGCGATAGGAACGTGCTGCCAGCGCAGCGCTATCCCTTCCCCGATGTGTTTGTGAGCTGTCAGGCATCTTGTTGCAAGGGCAGCACCCTGAGCATGTTTTCATTCACGTGAATTTGCAGGTGTAGCTGTCTGCCAGATGATGCACCTTTCTTTTTTATCTGGGAGAATCCTCA